CAGGAAGTCAAAGGAATTTGGTATATTGACACCGCAAGCACCCACCGATATCCAAAGTTTCCTGGGTTTAGCTGGGTATTACCAAAAGTTTATACAAGACTTCTCGCATTCGCGACACCACTGAAAAAATTGACAAGAAAGAATGTAAAGTATGAATGGAAAGAAGAGCAAGTTTAAAAGTCTTCCAATTATTAAAAGACAGATTTTGCAGCGCACCAGTACTTGTCATTACCAGAAGGGACAAAAGATTTTGTAGTTAATAGTGATGCTTCAAAGTTGGGTCTGCTTGTGTTTTGATGCAACAGGAAAAAGTAATTGCTTATGCTTCTAGACAACTAAAGGATAATGAAAAACAATATCCTACTCATGATATGGAACTTGTAGTTGTTGTTTTTGCCTTGGAGATTTGAAGATATTATCTGCTGAGAACTAAATGTCAGATTTACACAAATCACAAAAGTCTTCAACATATGTTCAATCAAAAAGAGTTAAACATGATTTAGAGATGATGGATAAAATTGGTGAATGATAATGACCGAGAGATTCTTTATCATCCTGGAAAGGCGAATGTGGTGGCTAATGCACTTAGTTGAAAAAAGTGGAACAATCAAAGTCATTGCATTACGAGCTAATAGGATCCCTAGCATCAAATCAATGAACTTCACTCAGCCTCTTTTTAAGTAGCAGAAAATCATTTTCAATTTTAGTCTTTTTGGATCTCAGAATTTCTTACTCCTCTCTCAAACCCTCACTTAAGCACTTATATCCGCAACTTTCTTCTCTAAACTTAAGCATCGAATTTATTTCACCTTTCAATCTATCTTTTAAGATTTTGAACTCAACCTTCATGTTCTAACTCACATTTAAAGAATTATGTGATAACTGGGATTTAAGGCAGCAACAGTTGAGGTAATTTTTATGTGAATGTGTGGTAATATGCATATTTATTTATGATATTGATTCTATGTGTGGATGATATATGTATACATATGAATTATTGTGCATACATGGAATTATGCTTACAATAGGAAGCATTAAAATATAAATATAATATGCATTATTGGGAGAAGAGGAGAAGAGGTTTAAAATATTAAACCTCCACCGCCTTGTGAGTTTTATAATATTAAACCTTTGCACCGCCTCAATAAAATATATATAAGTGAGATAAGATTAGTCTTATCCTACTTATCTTCTTAAAGAGGAAAAGGGGCAGTAATGGTGTGTAGGTGTTCTTGAGAAAAAGTTTGTGAAGTTATTTAAGAGAAGATTCTGTGTTGATTATTTGAAGCTTTGTTGTGTGAACTATCTTCAAATCTGTGCATATAAGGTGAGTTTTGTTATTAAAATTCTTATGTGTTGATATTTGAAATATATAAATTTCAGTAGATGATTAAACAGATAAAAAGGAAAATTGTTTTAGCAGTTGAGTTGAGTTTATGAATCTGAGTTTTGAAACTGTTTTTGTAATATAAAGAAGATTATGCTTCCTTTAAACAGTTGAAGATGATATTCTATTTTTTTTAGGATTAAAGGGTTTTAAGTTTGGAAAATTATATTAAAGAACTGTTGGTTCTTGAGTTTCAAAGTTTTGATATTAAAAATGTTTTGAAACTACTGTTGGTTAAAACTATAGATGATGTTCCTTGAAGATGGTTGTGACTTCGGTCTGTCCTGATTGAAACTAATATGTAGATTTTAATGAAGAAATTAGGGTGACATATCAAGGAGAGGTGTACCATGGGATAAGGGTGACATATCAAAGAGAGGTATACCTTCGGATATAAGGGTGGCATATCAAGGAGAGGTGTAACTTTGGTTATAAGGGTGGCATTTGTATGTGTGATTATTATTATATCTCTTACTATTATATCCCTTAAGATTTGCAATGGTTTTGAGTTCTTATTTCTTTGTGATTTGAAGACTCAGGAATGTTGCTCTTATTGGAAATAATAGTAATGATGTTATTCAGAAGGGAAAAATTAGCTTATGGCCAGAGGTTTTGGATAAATGTGTTTTTGATTAAAAGTGTTTTGAGGAACCAGATGAGCTCTGGTTGTTCCTTAAAAGGAACCAGATGAGCTCTGGTCGTCCCTTGAATAGAACTAGAGGGGCTCTGGTTAATCTCTGTCTATGATCTAAGTCCTTATGTTAAACTCCTATCTGGACCAGAGGCTCTGTATGTATCGTATAAAAGCTCTATGTCATAAATGTTGAATTTCAATGTTTCATAAAAAATTCTTGCTCTTATTTAAACTTAGAAAATTATTTATATGAAATGACTTTGGCAAAGAAAGACAAGCCAGAGGGGCTCTGGTTGTTCTTTACAGCTAAACCATAGGAGCTCTAGTTGGCCTTTGTAGATGAACCAGAGGCTCTGGTTAGTAAGACCAGAGGCTCTGGACATATGAAAGATTTCAAATTATACTTTATATATATATATATATATATATATATATACTTGGGAAATATTTACACTCATTCTATATACGTGACTTTGTAAATATATGAATGTTAATTTGAAGAGGAGCTCTGGTTGATAGAACCAAAAGCTCTGGTCAATGGAACCAGAAGGGCTCTGGCTCTGCTGTATGATGAAAAAAATCTTCTTAAGTCAAAAATCTGGTATTTACAACAAGAGGGGTGCTAGTTGTTGTGAACTATGAGATTAGTTTCTGCTTATATGAAAAATTGATTTTAAATAAAGTTTTGGTGATCTTCACCCTGCAAATACAAGGAAAAAGGGATCTCACTAGACCTTCAGGTCTAACCCTCATTTTGTCTTTCAAATATGTATTGCAAGAACAACTGAGTACCATGATAGTTAAAGGGAAATGGATAATGCAATTTGTTTTCCTATGTGCATAAGTATATGAAGATCAGCTTATGGATGTGTATAGTTTTCAAGATGCATGTTATGCAGTACAAGAACTTGTATTTTTGAATTATTGGATTGTGTACTTTGTACTATACTATCTTCTACTATGAGACCTAAGTGGTGTAATACAAGTATTTCTTTGAATGAATTATGTGTTATATGCAATGTGTGATGTGGGGTGTTACAATTATTTACCTCATATTCGTTCTCAGATGATGAGATTTCAACTTCAGTTTTGGCTATTAAGCACATATTTACTTGGGTAAAATGAGCAGTTTCATCATCTGAAGAATCGATCAGCCAGCTTTCTTCTTCCGCAACCAAGGCCTTGCCATCCTCAAGGGCTTTTGCCAGATTAGCCTTCTTGAGGTAATAGTTTGAGTCTTTAAACTTTTTAAACCGCTTATAGTCTGAACCTATGCTCAACATATCTTTCGACATTTTTAGAGACTTGAAAAATGATCTTTTTCAGATGATAGACAAAGACTGGATTTGAAAACACAACACACAACAACTGAATTTCATGACACTTGGAAAATTTCAACAAAGACTTCCTAGATTTTTGACACAAAAATCACAGATCTCGGACAAGACAAAATGTTCATCAGACAAGGAATAATTGTTATCAAACAACAAGTGTGAGTATAACGGAGAAAGAAATCAAGGATATCGAGCACCAAAGATACTAGACAGAATGGTTATCGGATACACTTGATATCAAGCAAGACTTGGTCGATAAAGAGGCTATCAGATAAGCTTGTGACCGATTACAAGAGATATCAGACAAAGAGGTATCTGATGAGAATACTTGGATTCAAAAGAACAATGAAATAAGGTATCCGGACACAATATGATCGATGAGTCAAGTATCCGGATAAGTCTAAATTTAGCGATAAAGACAAGAAATCACAAGTTTCAAGTACCAACTGATGAAAGAGTCTCTAGATGACTCTTTAAACGATAACCAAGGATTATCGGACAACACTATCCGATGAGAAAAACAACCAAGTTATTAGACAACACAAATCGATCAAAACACAAGCGATTAGCAATCAAAATAAACCCAAGTAACTCAAATTGAGAGATAAAGCACTTTGAACGATAAACAACACTTCACATACAAATTCAACAGCCGATGGAAAACATGCTTATCGGTCGATGAACATTAATCATCCGATGAAATGAACTCTTAACAGCATTCGAAAAACACTCAAAAATCACTCAAAATTGAAATTTGATGCAATCTTCTAACACAAAACTGTTCGCAATTGATGCAGAATTAGCTCAAACGCATACCATCTTTACAATTTTCGATCAAACAAATGAATTTGACAAAAAAATATGCAAGAACAGAACCAAGAACTGTCGAAAACAGAATTTCAAGAAATCCAATCAAGATTACAACTTAAAATTCAATCAAGTCGATCTAATGTTGCTCTGATACCAATTGTGATCCCAGTTTTCAAGTCTAATTCAACAATTAACACAAAGATCAAGAACACCAGTTGAATTGAACCTGTCGACTTGATTAATTTTGCAAACAGTAGGAACAAGTTCTTGATACAATGATCTCTCAATCTCTCTAAAAAATGTACAATTCTGTCAAATATATGTATTATGTGAAAGTGTACTAACCAACAAAACTAACCACTGCTATCTATAGCAGCTTCTAAAAATATAAAGTTAACTACCCTTTCTAAACATGGATACAAACAACTAAACATTACAAAGCATTTAAAACTGTTTAAGCTTCGGGACTTGAATACAACATTTTTTGTTCCAACAGGTTGTATTATCTGTAAATACCTGTGATCGTATAATCAAGGAACCATACATTGGCAGTTTACTCTGTAATTTCAAGTTATCAATTTACAATCGACTGACTGATTTCTAGCTGTGTTAATTGTTAAATTCATTGTTCTTATTATCAATCTGGGAGTTAAAGTTTCCCAATGCTCTTAGGAGGTTATTTGAGACGATGTTGATTTATTATGAGCCAGGATATGTTCGGAAGTTATAGGATGACCACTATGATTAAATTTATGAAGATTATAGGGGATAATGTGAAAGTGTTAATGGAGTCCTCAATATAGTTCTAATTGATATCCACGTTTTCCTACAATCTATGTGTAAGAGTTTTGATGATTACAATCTTCCTATGGTAGATGTAGATGCCAATTTTCAATCTAGAGAATTCCATGAGGTACAAGAGGAGTGCTTTATAGTTGTGGAAGACGAACACTTGCGTCCGAGACTCTCTCAATTTGACAAGAAATACGCATATGATGTGATCATGAGGCACGTAGACAATGATTGTCCGGGAGTGTTTTTTATAGATGGTCTGGCTGGAACCGGGAAAACATTTTTGTACAAAACTTTGCTTGCCAACATCCATTCTGGTGGTCTCATTGCTCTTGCAACCGCTTCTTCAGGTGTTGTTGCCAATAATATGCCAAGAGGGAGAACAACCCACTCTCAATTCAAGATTCCTCTCAACCTTGATAATAACTCAATGTATAACATAAAAAAAACAAAGCATGACTGCTCAATTGATTCAAGATGCAAAAATAATCTTTTGGGACGAATCATCGATGGCAAAGAAGCAGATAGTGGAGGTGCTCGATCGAACAATGCAAGACATCATAGGAGTGACACTCCGATTTGGCAGGGAGATAAAGGGAATGGGGGTGATTTTAGACTAGTCTTATCGGTCGTGACACGTGGAACCCGAGCACAGATTATAGATTCTAGCCTATGGATGTCATCTCTTTGGTCAAAGATTAAAAAGATACATTTTAACTCTATCAGACCATTAACTGATCCTTTGTTTTCAGATTTACTATTAAGAGTCGGTGATGGAGATGAAGAAACACTAGACGAAAGATTTATCCACATACCCGATGACATGAGCGTTCTATATACTGATAAAGTTAATTCAAAAGATACTTTGATTGATGCAACCTTTCTGTCTCTACAAATCAACGGAGCTGATTCTAATTATATCATTTTGAGAGCGATATTATCAACTAAAAATGAGAATGTTGATGAGATAAATGATCAATTGATTGACAAGTTTTGCAGAGATGAAAAAATATACTACAGTTTTGACGAAGTAGAAGATGATAAGAATAAATCTATCTGATAGAGTTCTTAAACTCGTTAACTGTTAGTGGTTTGCCACCTCATTACCTTCGTCTCAAAAATGGATGTCCAATAATATTGTTGCAAAGTATCGATCCCTCGAATGACTTATGTAATGACACTAGATTGATATGCAGAGGTTTTTCAGCAAAACGTCATCGATGTAGAAATAACTGTTGGTCAAAATGCTAGCAAGAGGTACTTTTACCTAGAATTCCTTTATGTTCATCTGAAGATTAACATGTTCCCATTTAAGCTAAAGAGGAAGCAGTTTCCAATTTGGCTAGCTTTTCTATGACAATCAATAAAGCTCAAGGACAGAAAATTCCGAATGTAGGTGTTTATCTACCGAATTAGTATTCTCACACGAGCAACTTTACGTGGCGTGGTCCAGAGGTATATCACGGTGCAATACAAAGGTGTTAGTGAAGCCTACGAAAAAGTTCAATCGTGTTGCAGTCTACACATCAAACATCGTCTATCAAGAAGTTTTACGTGATAAATAAGGTATAATCAACAATTATATTATTACACATTTGGTAGAATATGTTTCTATTAAAATTAATGCACGTTTTTTGCAAGACATGTTAACTGATGAGCACTTCACCAAAACTAAAGTGCATTCTGAATATATGGATGTGCATATTTATATATGAGTGTATTTCTATTTTGTTCAATCATGTTTGTAACAAAATTATAAATATATGGGTTTGGAAACTCAATACTAATGCAATTATTTTTTCAACATACAATCAAAGGGATAGAGAAACATGAATCAGGGCTAAATTAATGTTTCAAAATTGTGATTCACCCTCGTTGCATTGTGTTGGTACACAACTAGTCTATATATTGTATTTATCTATGTACATATATAAGTTGTGAAATAAGTTAATAAATAGATATATTATTTTAAAGAATAAAAATTTGATTGAAGTTTTAATTTTAATGTATGTATGGAAAAATTTGATTAAAATCGATTATTATTATTACTATTATTATCATCCTTATTATAATTATAGTCTAATAAGTTTGGTTAAAACCCAATAGAACCCATTAAAGTCCAATTGAACCGATTAAAGCCTAATAGAATTAATTAGAGTCCAATAAAATCGAATAAACCAATAGATCGATTAAAGCCCGGTAGAATCGATTAAAGCCCGGTAGAATCGATTAAAGCCTAATAGATATGATTAAAGCTCACAAAACCGAATAAAGCTCAATAGATCTATTAAAGCCCAATTATTCGTATAAACCCCGATAAATCCATCAAAGCCTAACTAAGATGCTTTAAAGCTCATAAATATCAAATAAAGACCAATAGATCCATTGAAGCCCAATAACATCCATTGAAGTCCAATAAAATCGAATAAAGTCCAATAGATCTATTAAAGCTTAATAAAACCCTTTAAAAACCAATAAACCCGAATAAAGTCTAATTGATTCTTTAAAGCCTAATAAACATGATTAAAGTCCAATAAAAACATTTAAAGCGCAATAAATCTATTAAAATTCAATAAAATGATTAAAACCTAATAAAATCCACTAAGATGCATTAAAGTCCACTAAGATCTATTTAAGATGCAGTAAAATCCTTTAAAGCCCAATAAACCCAATAAAAGTGATTAAAAAACCTAATAAAAACCATTACAGTTCACTAAAATTCATTTAAGTCCTATAGAATCCTTTAAAGCCCAATAAAACTGATTGAACCCAAAAGAACACATTAAAGCCCAATAAAACTTAATAAGATCCACCAAGACCAGTATAGACTAATAAGACCCTTTATGATTTATTAAGGCCTAATAACACCAATGATGACTTACTATGTGTTTATATGCAGGTGTGTACTGCATAAATTCATGTGGTGTGTATTGGACTCGAAAAACCATGAAGAGCCACAAAAACCTAGTAAGACCCAATAAAAATCATGATAGCCCAGTAAAGACCCTTAATGACTTATTAAGGCCCAATAACACCACTAGCGACTTACTACGTGTTTGTATGCACATATCTACTGTATATATGCATGTGGTATGTATTGAACACGATAAGACCACTAAGAACCATTATAACCGGTAAGACCCTTTATGTCTTATTGAGGTCCAATAACATGAATAGTGACTTGTTACGTGTTTGTATGCAGGTATGTACAACATATAAACATATGATGTGTTTTGGGCTCGATAAGACCACTAAGACTCACTATAGCCTATGAAGAACCACTAAAAGTTACTAAGAACCATTATAGCCCAATAAGATTCTTATGACTTATTAAGGTCCAATAACACCAATAATGACTTACTACGCTTTTGTATGCATGTATGTACTGCATAGATGCATGTGGTGTGCATTGGACTCGATATGGCCATTATGACCCACTAAAAGCAACTAAGATTCATTAAAATCAATTAAGATCCATTAAAGTCTAATAAGACCAAATAAAGTCTACTAGATCCATTAAAGTCAACTAAGATTCATTAAAGCCCAACAAAACCCTTTATGATCCTTGGTGACTTTTTTCATGTGTTATATGTAGATATAAATTGCATATATGTATCTGGTGTGTATAGAGCTCAACTAAGATGCACTATAGCCCAATAAGAACTACTAAAGCCCAATAAAACCTACTAAAGCCTAATAAGACATTTTATTAGTTATTAAAGCCAGTAACACCAATAAATCCCATACGTATATGTATATATACGTACATGTATCTTTGATATACGTATGTGGTATATATGTAAGTATAAATACGAAATATGTAAAAGAAAATATGAGCAAGTATATACGGATAGAAAATATGAAAAATACCCAAAAATGTAAATTTTATTAAAAACTCGTTACAGATTAATCGAAAAAAATTAAAAATTTAAGAGAAATAAAAAAATAGACCGAAAACTATTTAAATTATTATTTTTAATTTTTGTTTTGTTATGTTTTGTGGTGGATTATGACATCCACCGGAAATTATTCAAAAGTGATTCTTAATTGTTTAAATGAAACGAAAATACTTTAAGGGTGCGTTTGGTTTGCATGAATGTTTCAGAGGGATTTGGATTCCCAGGAGGGATTTGGATTCCATGGGATTTGGATTGGATTGGATTTAAAATCCATTCCTGTATTTGGTTTGCAAGATTTGAATTTGTAGGATTTGGATTTTTTTTTTTGTAATTATATTAATCACCAAATCTCTTTCATTTTCTTAAACCTATATATTTAACCAACAAACCTAAAAATTTAGCAATCAAAATTTTTCATCCAAAATGCATATTTAATCAACAAACATTTTCATTCAAATAATGATAATATGGAGACTTGAAGAAGGAACAAGAAAGAAAGTAAAGATATATTAACATAAACTTTAACAGAAGCCAATATAAATTTAATGATCTTCCTACTTCAACCATAAAATTCTTCCTATTTTTAAATCTTACGTTACCTATTTTCCCAATGCCATCATCATAAACTATTGAAAATGTTTGATCCATGAAATTCCTCCTATTTTGTTGCCATTATTAGACCATGCATTCCAACTTGACTAAGAAT